ACAAGAAATCACGGTATCCGAGGGGGCGAGCAAAGGAGAATAGTCGAGAGCCGGGCGAGAGATCAAAACCAGTAAATCAATAAACCAAAGCGACAGTACCGAGAAGGGGAAAAAGCGAAAGCCGTAGTCAAGAAAGAAAGCAGTCATACACAGTAATCCAAATATCCAACAAACAATCCAATAATCAAGCAATGAGCAGAGCTCCTGGGATTCGTCGTCGGCCGGCTCTTCAGTATCCGGACCGGAAGTGATGCCTGACGCATCGCAGGAGACGTAGGCGGAGTCGAGACGAGGGGGGCGGGGCCAAGTCGCAGACGACGAATGGTGACAAAGGCGGAAGGTCCGGAGAGTCGGCAGGGCTCCTCCTAGAACTTACGCCATTACATAATTATTTAGAAGGGCTGAAGGAGTGTATTTCCGCTGAAGCAGATATAATGGGTGGTGGCCTCATTGCTTTTAGACCACAACTTTGCTCATTAAGATTTTCATTAAGCTTAATTTTTAGAAACCCATCACGATCGAGGCTGGTATGGCACTGATATTAGTCTTTACCACATTTCATTACCTGTATTTTTGAGTTGCCTGTTTTGGTGTATGTTAGTTGATGTGGGCAGTGTAGCTTAGAAGAGAAACAAAATTGGTTGTCCATATCACTTTCCTCCCAGCCAATGCCTTCTCTAGTTAAGCCAGAGAGGCTAAACCATTCCACCTGGTCCTTGGCTGGAACGCAAGAGCCATTTCAGTGGTTTTTGTTCTCTTGCCTTATGCATCACAATCGTTGTGGATTAAAAAAAAATCTATTAAGTCAAAAACAGTACTGTGTCATGCTATGCAAATATACATTCAGCACCATTGGTCTACAGGGGAGAGGGTGGTACCAGGAGCTGCACGGAAAAGGGCATCACAACTGTCCTGACACCTTTCCACATATGTTAATCATCCAAAGGCTGGACTGGCAATCAAACATACTGCCACACAATTAATATATATACCAATATGGAGACACGTCCTGTATATCTTCAAGAGTTTTTCCTCTGACACAATAACAACATGCTATGAGACTACAGCTCTCTAACCATCAAGATTAGTCAGAAACAAGCCAACAGAACTTTAACACAAAACAAGAAAAAGCTGTAAGGTCCTATTTGGTCAGAGTCTTTCTCATGATGGTGGGTAAATCTGGGATGGCTTTTCTGATCCTCATGACGTCTTGTTCGCATATTAAAATGGGGCAGATATGTGGAGGTGGAGACTCAATAACAACATTCTAGGTTGTAAATTGAACACTATAAGAGTTAATAAATATTAACACTGTAAAAACAACACTCACTGCACACTGAAAAGTGTTAAAGGTAAAACTGAATGGTGTGGTCACATATAGACACCATGCAGTGTTAATTTAACACTGGCACGTTTGCTTGTACTAGCGCCTCCATTTTTAATGCCATGAGTCGTCCCACAGATATGATGTTTTTTGTTGTTGGTGATGCAGTTGACCAGTGTAAAAACATATCAATGTGCACATGCGTGACGTTTCGGAGGACCGATGCATTCACATTTCAGTCAGATACAGGTCACTTGTAGTTATGAATGTGAACCGTCAAGATAAACAAATCCGATCCGATCAATCAGAATTGAACGATGTGGCTGGCAGTGTGAACGTAGCCAGAGAGTTCCGGGCAACTAAGTTTATTGAAGAAGACAAAAGGGAGTGTCGTGAGCCGTTCTGGGGTTATGTTCAGTATCCGTCCAAGCCGTGGACCGAGTGCCAAGTCGTAAACCGAGATCGTAGTCGAGAGACGGGAAGCCGAGGGTAGAGAAGCCAGGGAGTCAGTCCGAGGACGTAGACAAACACCGGGGGAATCACATGAGGACCTACGGGAAGGGCAGGAGGCACGGGAGGCTCAGGGAGGGCAAGAAGGAGCAAACATAACTGTGGGAGAAACACAAAGATAAAGCGCTCAGTATGTGCATGGCAACAATACCTCGCACTGGGCTTTTGCCCAAGTGCGGCTTAAGTAATGGGCTAACTGACGCAGATTGGTCCCTGCTGTGCCAGTTGTCTCCTTGCGGTGGGCGTAACATACTCACAATCTCTGACAATAAAATTATCTGTTGAATAACTTTCTGTTGAACTGCGGATAAACCTTACATGCTAACAAGCAGTGACATGTAGCTTCCGCCTGGGTCCTAATGCCTGCCCTCTAGCTATAGCAGCAACAGCCAGTATATAATTTTAATTAAATAACGATAGGTAGACTTACAGTATTATTTTACATTTCAATTCGTAGTCTTGCTTCTGTTTGTTAAGTGCGTACCTGCACTCAGTGATATCTTGTATGAAATGTATGGATATATAATTTAAAAATAGTATGATAATTACTATATTTTTAGGGGGGGCTTGGGATCATTTTGGGGGGGCTGAAGCCCACCATAAATAGGCCTAACGACACCCATGGTAGAAATGCTGTCTTATACCTTTCTACCTAATTATTATCTACAAAATCAAATAGTAGGATTATAGATAGTTTGCGGAAAAACAATGTTTGTAACAGTGATACTCATAAAAGCTAAATAAATGTGTTATGTGTATAGTTATTACGATGTAATATTTTATTCATAAACTTGAAATCCAGTGTTTGCCCCTCCTGCTCTTCTCAGTCCGGCCTCAGCCCAAAACCACACCTACTAAAGTTCCTTCCACTCTCACACACAGACGACTGCAAGAGAAAACGAAACTGAATCCCATCAGTGTTCGTGGTAAAATGGCAGAAGCCAGTTCAGCACTGGATCCGAACCAGTTCCGCTGTCAAATCTGTCTGGATCAACTGAAGGATCCAGTGACTATTCCCTGTGGACACAGTTACTGTATGAGCTGCATTAAGAGCTGCTGGGATCAGGAGGATTGTCTTGCAGTTTACAGCTGCCCCCACTGCAGACAAACCTTCATACCCAGACCTGTTCTGTACAGAAACACCATCCTGGCTGAAGTGGTGGAGAAACTGAAGAAGACTGGACTACAAGCAGCTACTCCTGTTGACCATTATGCTGGACCTGGAGATGTGGAGTGTGACGTCTGTACTGGGAGAAAACACAAAGCTGTCAAGTCCTGCCTGGTGTGTCTGGCCTCTTACTGTGAAACTCACCTCCAGCCTCACTATGAGTCCACAGCTTTTAAGAAGCACAAACTGACTGATGCCACTGGACGTCTGCAGGACAAGGTCTGTTCCCAGCATGACAAACCCCTGGAGGTCTACTGCCGTACCGACCAGCAGTGTATCTGTTACCCCTGTACGATGGATGAACACAGAGGCCATGAAACAGTCTCAGCTGCTGCTGGATGGGTGGAGAGACAGGTCAGGCCAGAAATCCTCATATAAATTATAAAATTTATTTGAACTAAAAATGACTTTTGTCTTAATGCATTTCATTTTATCTGGTATGAGGACAGCAACATGAAGTCTGGTTTGGGAAAGTGAAAGAAAAATCAACTGAAAATGCTAAATATTGTTACAAAGTGTAAAACATCCTCATTGAATTCCTACTGAAAACTCCTTTAAACAGTGAATCACGTGGCTGCAGCTGGATACATACAGCAAGCAAACAGGGTTCAGAGGTTCACTTACTGTTTGCTGAGCATCTGAATGGCTGAGATGTCTGAGCTAAGAGGCTGTGGTGTGATTGTTGCTGCCAAATGCTGTGGGTCCAGCATCTCAGAAACAGGCACCATCCTGGGATTTTAATACACTGCAGTGTGTAGAGTTTACTGAGAATGGTGCAATAACATAAACACCTGTGGTGGGTCTGTGGGTGAAAATACCTTGTTAATGAGAGAAGTCAGAGGAGAATAGCTAGACTTGTTAAAGATAACAGGAGGGTCACAAGTGCAGAAATAACAGCTCAGTACAATGGTGGTGAGTCAAAGGGTCTGTGTCCAGTTTATCATACCTATAGTCAATCAATCATTTAAGAATATCCGTCCATCCATCCATCTCCTATCCGCTTATCTACAGTAGGTCAGGGTCATGGGGACCTGGATCCTTTCCCAGGCAGCATAGGGCCCAAGGCTGGGGTCTACCCTGGACAGGATGATTAATGAATATGATCTCAGCTAATGAAACAAACTTATTTTGTCATCTTGTTTCTTGTCTGTAGAAACAAATAGGAGAAACACAGAAGGAATTTCAGCAGAGAATCCAGACGAGAGAGAAGGAGCTGCAGGAGCTGAGAGAGACTGTGGCCTCATTCAGAGTGAGTATGAACCTTAAGATAAGATAACAGCTGGCTTGTGATCATGTTGAATCAAGACTCCTCCCCAGAGTCAACAGATATATAGAGCTGTGTGGATTAATCATACTAAGGTCACTGTGGGTTACTCTGGGTCAGAGGTTTGGTGGGACAAAGGTGCCAGATAACAGTGTCATGAGACAGAACAGGAACAGGGCACCCAAACAGGGTGCAGTCAAAGAGCCAAATCACAGTACAGGAGTCAAAGTCGGGGTTGGTAACAGAGATCAGAAAGCGGGGTAATCTACCCTGGAGAGTGAGGGAAAAGGCAAACACTCATGGGGACACGGTAAAGGAGAGACACTCAGGCACACCTAGATGGGGGTCGGGATCAGCAGTCGCTTGGGTGGGAGGGTCTGGGAGATCAGGCACACAAAGTCATGGGAGGAACCTCACCAACCAGGGAGAACCGGGCCAGAGAAACACTCAGCAGTCTAGCAGAATAAGATGAAATCTCACACCTGATTTTATATTACCAGTAACCAGGATTAAAAGGAAGCAGTTGTCAGTATTCAGGCGAGATGAATTGGGTTGGGGGGTGTGGTTCCCACAAGCGATCTGGGCTCATGCTTACAAACAGGGTTTAACTAACCTGGGGTTACAGGGGTTATGCTATATATTTGGAAATATGTCATTTAAGGCTCATTTGAGAAATAGCAAGGTTTCATATACCTGTGCAATGGAAATAAACTTCATGTAGTTATCAATTAACTGAGACTTAAATGTGACAACGAACCTGCCACCAGTCTCTGCCAAATCCCTGCAGCTGACAGTGTATGAGCTTAATGTGTGATCATTTCCAATCAGTGCTGGCTGGCTTTCAGTCCCTGAGGCATCCAGCATCGTGACGCTCCAAACCCCAGCCCTGTGCTGTTTTTATACCTCCTGTCGGCTCACATCACTATTGTACAATGAGGCTCTCTGTGGTCTCAAAAGGGGCCAATTTTAATTTACCATCATCTGCTCTCTGTGTCACCAACAGGGATCAGCACAGTCAGCAGTACAGGACAGCGAGAGGATCTTCACTGAGATGATCCGCTCCATTGAGAGAAGACGCTCTGAGGTGACACAGCTGATCAGAGATCAGGAGAAGGCTGAAGTGAGTCAGGCTGAAGGAGACATGGAGAGACTGAAGCAGGAGATTGATGAGCTGAAGAGGAGACACTCTGAGCTGGAGCAGCTTTCACACACAGAGGATCACATCCATTTCCTCCAGGTAACAGAACAGCTACTTTGACGATATGAAAACCAGAGTATTCAAATGGATGCATGTTCTCATTTGTATTTCAGCTAGTCTGTCATTTGTCAGATGTTAATGGTCTTGTTAATTAGATTTCCATACACATTTGTTATGATGAAGCAGTTTAATCAGACTGTGTGTCTGTAGAGGTGCCAGGGTCTTCCTGTTGTCCCTGAAGCTGGATTTGGACCCAGAATCTCCGTCAGTCCACGCTGCTCTTTTGAGAACGTGAGGAAGGTGGTTTCTGAACTGAAGGATCAACTGGAAAATGGTTGTGAAAAGAAAACAGCAGAGATCCATCACACAGGTTAATAAATAAATACATTATTCTGTCTGTTCATGTTAATATAGACCATGCAGAGAGAATATGCAGTACAGTCAGCCTCATGTTTGTGTGACCAAGTCAGTTTCTGTTTTCAATAAGATTAAATCTTTGTGAAAATTGGTGAAAAAGCTCCACATTCTACAGACTGCAAAACCCAGATCACGTGAATTATCGGCATCATAGAATCCACAAATCTGGATTATGAGTAACTTCCAATGATTTGCAGTTTGTTAAACTGCCTGTTATTGTCCCTCATAATGATAATTCCCTACTGTTGTTATCTCCACAGTGAGTGAAGTCCATCTCCCACAAGTAAATTCCTTTTACTCACATCCCTGTTTCTCTCTGTCTCCTTCTAGTTACCAAAGACGCCGTCCTTCCGGTATTAGTGCCCAGGACCAGAGCAGAATTCTTACAATGTGAGTCTGTTCACACACACGCTTCTCTCTCCCTGTATGAGGTGGAGTGTGTTTTATTGTCTTTCGTTTTCTTCTGCTGGGGGAGCTTCTCTTTCTCTCTCCCACTGCCTCCTGGCCTTTCACATTTACATGAGCTGTTTATGTCAGTAGCCTTTAGATCCAATTGCAATGCAAGACATAAGTAAGGCAATTTCATTAAGGGCGCTTTTCCACTGCACCAGGTATGGTACTATTAGCACTTTAGCTTTTCCATTGACTTATAGTTCAGTAGCAGAACCAAGTAATCAAAGTACCAAAGCAGCTGAGATACTTTTTTGGTACTTCAGAACTTTGGGTTGAAACTGAGACACATCCATTGTCGCATAAAAAAGCCTAAAAGCCAAACAATCAAATAAATTGTTAATTAAAAAGAAGTCACATTTCAGAGGCGGCATCTGACTAAACTTCTGCTGATTTAATTTATTGAAAACCTACAGCGAACAGTAACACTTTAAGCCCTGATTATAATGAGCTGACAGTGTTTGCAGACCTCAGGTCTTCAGGAAGCTTGTACCACAGACAGGGAGCATAGAGACTAACAGCTGCTTCACCCTGTTTGGTTTTAATAATAATAATAATAATAATAATAATAATACATTTTATTTTCAGCGCCTTTCAAAACACCCAAGGTCACTTAATACAACAAATCACAAATACATAAATAAAAGACATAATAAAATTTAAATACACAAAATTACCCATAAAATGCACAAAAATATAAAATAAAGATTAAACTAAAATAAAGTTTTTAAACGTGATTTAAACATGGATGTCATTTAAAACCTTAACACCTGTAGTGTCAGTGCTATGGTGTGGTTGAAATCCAGACTGAAAAGCATTTAAGGTCATTGTTTTGCACCATGAAAGAACTAAGTTGCCAAAAAACAACCATTTCAATGATATTTCCTAAAAAAGATAGGTATGATATAGGCCTATAGTCACTTACTAATGAGGCATCTAGGTTGGACTTTTCTAAAAGAGGTTTGATAACTCAGGTCTTCAGGACCCTTGGAAAAGACCTGACTGAAGAGAACTATTGACTATTAAAGGAGCTTGTAGGTAGATAGTCAAGGCAGCTGGCTGTAGGCCTGAGGTGCTGAACAGTTTCTATCAAGGTTGCATGGTCTAGGACAGGAGTCAGCAACCTTCCGCTCGCGAGACACATGCGGCTCTTTGACCACGTGGCTGCGGCTCTTCTCAGAATGACAGACAAGTTCACATTTTCATGGCTAAACATATTATGGTAATACTTTCATAAATAAATTATTTTTGGGTTAATATTATTATTATTCAGTTAGATATTTCTTTAGCTATATGTGAATGAGGGCGGTCTGTTGCGTGCTTTTGTGACGTCTTAACTGCATCATTTACATCTACCTCAAAGTTGTTCTCTATGACGAGATTACATTGCTGGTCAAATGAAATGCTGTCTGGAGTTTTCAAATACTTTGGTAGTAAATTGTCATCATTCCTTCCCAAGTCTTCGTAAAAACTGGTATATTTTCTCCGACTTGCTTATTATATCCAGCTGATTTCAGAGTGGTGAGGACATTTTGCGCTGCTCAGTCAGCAGTTACAGTAGTGAAGTGCAGAGTGAAGGGCAGACAACTGCAGAGCCAAAGGAACTTTACTCAGGAAAGGAGGGGTGTGGGTGAAGACTGTCACTACATAACTGAACGGTGTCGTAATATTAGTCACCACTGTGCTGTTATGAGTCTGAGGGATTTAAAACTGAGATGCCCTCCCACCCCCCAAAATAGTCTTTATTTTTTGTAAGTACTTGAAGTTTTGTTTTTGTCATGAATGCACATACACCCATATAGCATTAAAATTCGTCTCTCAAACCCCCTTCTCTACCCAGCGGCTCTTTGTAAATCTTGGGTCAGACATTTAGGATAAAATGGCTCTTTGCTTTAAAAAGGTTGTTGACTCCTGGTCCAGAGGGTGGAAAAGTGCCACCTATAGTGATTTGCCAGCCAAAGACCTGACATTCAGTAATATACCACTTTCTATGGTCACTATTTGAAAGTTTAACGGCCACTTTTGAACTTTATGATTATCTTTATTCAAAAAAAAAAAGTTTAAGATGCTTTTTTGTCATTGTAAGTACAGTGAGATTTAGTTTGGAAAGCGCCAGCAGATGCATAGTAAACTTACAATTAAATAGAATCTGAGGCATAAAACAGAATCCGAGAATAAAATATGTATACTATATATATATATATATATAT